TAATAATAATAATAATAATAAAAACAATATCATTATTTTCAATAATAATATAGAAATGAGACAAATTATAATACTGTACAGTTAAAATGTGTTGTGTTTCTTTTGGTTCCATTGGAAATTGTCCCCTTGCATTGGTGGCCAGTGAAGTGCCTCCTTACACTGGTAGTCATTGATAATTATGCCCACCTCCATTGGTGGTTATCAGGAAGCATGCCCTTTACACTGGTGGTTAGTGGGAAGAATTTCCCAGTCATTGGTGGTCAGTGGAAAGAATGCCTCTTACACTGGTAGTCATTGGGAAGTATGGCCCCCTAAATTAGTGGCTAGGGGGAAAAAAAATACCCACCCAAAGATGGCTAAAACGGTGCCGGACAAATCCCAGGAGGAGTTGGCTCCTAAAAAAAAACATCCTGCCGGCTCTTGAATTAGACAGACTGGCTCCTGGGTTCCATATTCATTTGTCCAGCCCCAGATAAAAAGACCATTCGGTGTCAATGAATACTTATCTGAGAGGCAGACATTGCAATGCTCATGTGCTGGAGAGGCAGACATTGCTCATATGCTGGAGAGGCAATGAGTGAGAAAGAAAGTTTTAGACAAATCTTGACTTTAGTAAAGCTGGCACCATGCCTCATAATCTGCCAGCAATATAGTGCTGACCGACTGACTGACTGAACGTTACATTTTTATGTTCCTCTTACTTAGAAATCTAAAGACAATTGTATCATTCGATTGTAAAGTGTGTGGCGAGCCTCGAACAGTCTTCAGTAAAGAGCAGAAAAATCTGTGAGACAATTTTTTTTTCCCAGTTCCTGTCATGAGAACAACATTTTCCCTCTTCTGTTTCTTCTACATACGGTAGTTGATAATAACTATACAGAGCCAGTCAGATACCTTCATTGTGCTGAAACAAGACGTTTTTGGCTCCATTCACACATTAGCGGTAAACATAAAAAAACCAATGCATTGCAATGTGCATTGTTCAGACTATTGTGGCCGCCGCGCGATACAAAACCGTGCGTCCCGCAAACGGGGCCGGATTTACTCTCTCTGCTGCCCCAAGGTCAGGTTCCTCAATGCACCCCCCCCCCTGCATACAAGTCAAGTGATCTCGGCAACATCACCGGGATCACTTGTACAAAACAAGCGGCGGCTTTCCTGCCGTACATTTAGCCCCGCCTTGCCCAAAGCAGAGCTAAATGTAGAAAACAACTACCCGCCCGGAACTTCATGTCCCGAGCATCAGAAGATAGGAATTCCACACCCCTGCTGCCCCAAGGCCGGGCCTTGGTTGGCCTTGTGGGAAATCCGTGCCTGCCCGCAAAAAGTGTCCAAGTGCGATTTATTTTTAATGTATTTATTTTTTGGTGGATTCCGCACATCCCGGCTATAGTAATAGCCACAAACATGCGGAATCCACGCGTATGTTAACGTTTGCACTGTTTTGTTCCGCGCTGTTTCTGTGCGGAAAAACTGCAAGGAAAATGCTACTGCTATGTGTGAATGGAGCCTTAGGGCCCATTTATGCCACAATGAAATGCACTGCAGCTTGCATCTTTTTGTGCATTAAAGGAGAACTATGAGGGGGGGGGTGCTTTCCACTCGCCTCATAGTTCTAGCCCACCTGTGACAATGAGACGGTCACAGGTTGGCTCAGTAGATGGGGAGGTGAATTTTTTAGGAGCCAGCTCCAATGACCTCAAAAGTTAGGCACCTGCTGTACTTTTCAGGCAAGGTTCACGCCATATACAGTGCGTTCTAGAGCGGTCAGCCTCTGGAGCATACTGTATCGCATCTCGGCCGGCTTCCTGCATTCAGGGGCGGAAATGCAGTGAATTGAAGTCAATGGCACCGCAGCCACGCCCCCTGCCCCGATTGCCCGCACCAGAACACGTGGCACATCAGTGCCTGTGTTCCGGTCCAGGGCGATCTGCAAAAATAGTGCTGGCAGCTTTTATGCAGATCGCACTGGACTGGAACGCAGGCACTGATGTGCCACATGTTCTGGTGCGGGCAATCGCACTGCGGTTGCATTGCAGAGGCTGACCGCTCTGGAACGCACTTTTTATGGTGTGAACCGGCACTTAAGGAGCATTAGTGACTTGGTTACTGGGGTTTGTCCAACCCTGTATTAGGCTGCTACCTTTATGGTCACCATGACTGCACCATTCATGGGATAATGCATTTTGAATGTGGGGTTAGTCGCACCTAATATGAACAGTCATGTAACTCAATGATTGGTATACAATGTTTATTGATTTAAGAACAGCCAACACGTATCGGAAGAGAGCAGCCTTTTCTTCAGGGCTTGAATCATCTGACATATTTTATCCGGATGGTCTGTATCCACCTCCATGAGGATACACTGACACCCCCATTTCCTTTAGCCCTAAAACAGGCTATTTAATAAATACCATTCAGTTACAATACATTTCGGACATTTCAAGCCCTGAAGAGGGGGGGGGGGGGGGGGGTAGTTTTTCCCCCCAAAGTACGTTGGATATATTTAATCAATGAACATTTTCTACTAATCATTGACTGGTCACGTTCCTAATCCCATGCTCAAAATGGAATCTCTATATCTGCAGGATTGGAGTTCTGGAAATGTTTTTTTTGTCAATATGAAATGTTCTCAGCAAGGGAAGTTGCTATTTGTCTATGGAAGGATTCTTCAAACAAAACACTGAACAACCAATAAATCGACCCCCAAGTCTGTCAAAACTGAACAGCCGATGATTTGGCCACACGTCTGGCAATTGCAGTCTTATGCCTACAGGTAACCTGATACTGGCCAAAACATTTGTGGCCAAAAAGTTGGCTCTGTGGACAAGCGTTATTGGCGCCCATGAGATGATCCTCCTGTTCCTTCTGGTCTGTAGACATCGGCATCTCCCAGCACTGAGATCTGCAACAAGTTGGAGGATGTGTGCGTGCAATGATGAGTGCTTAGCAGTGTGAGGACCACCCTCCTATTTCGTCACATTGGCTGCATTGGGATCTTTTGAGGAATCGATTGAAGCGATTTAGGCTGCGGATCATTTTCCTTCGCTGGTCTTGAGCAATGTTAATGTTTCATATGAAATACATCGTCCCTTCACCCAACCGCATTAAGTCATTGATTGTTTCACAATTGCTGAGGGCGGCAATGGTGCTTGGAAAGATTTGGCCTGTGTCATGTTTTTAAATGATGAAATATATTCACGCTCATTCTTCTCTGACTGCATACAATGTTCAACTTGTACGCCTAGCTTACATTTGGGATCCAACCATAGAGCTAAATGCATGATTGTAATGCATTGCATACGTGTGACCTGATTTACCTGTCGCAGCGTTTGGGATTCTGTTTGGCTGATTTTTGTGATTTACACATCCCTGCCGGGAGGTGGGGTAGAGGAAGTGGTCGCTATAGAAAAGCAATAGCCTGCAAAATACATGGAAACGTGAGTAGTGATGAGCGGGGGGCTCGGTGCAGATCAAGTTTGCCCAAGCCTGTGCAAAACTGTGAATGACACTCCCTCTGGCCTGGCCCAATCAGTGCTAGCAGGGGCAACTACACGTCGCAAAGGGGGAGGGAATGCCCCTGCCACAACCTACTGGGCCGAGAGAGTGTGTCTGTCTCAGTTTTGTGCAGGCTTGGCCAAACCAAGCCCCCTCATATCACTGCTGGTGAGCCCTTCTTGCACCAGTTAAAGTATAATTAAAGCCTCCAGTGTTTTTGCATATGGCTAGCAAGCAGTAGATAGATGCAAAAAGTGTAAAAAAAAACAAAAAACGGCTTTGAAAGAGGTCAATATTTACATGTGTCTTCCCCGCGCGCTCC